CCGAGCTGGTGCCATTCCTCAGGACTCATCTTTACTTCCCGTAACGTCACTTCCTTCAATGATGGGTTGGAGGTAAGAACTTCCGTTAAACAGCCTCCGAGTCCATCCATCCTTTGCAGGTAAAGGAGTTCAATGGATCGGTTGCCATCATCTCCGGCCAAAGCTTTCAGCAACAAGGCCGCTCCCCACTCCACCTTCTCTAACCACAATTCCTTCAATGACGAGCTTTGAATCAAAGCCTGGGACAGGATTCCAACGTACTCCTCCTCCATGGCTCCCATACGGTATAAACCCAACGTTTCTAATCGAGGAGCACTGTTGATCATGTCGGCCACATGCTTCACGGCACTCGAGTCCTCCCACGCGTCACCCAATAACTCTAACCGCTGGAGTTTAGAATCGGAATTTCCTCGCAGTCCTGAGGCGAGATTCAAGAAACATCTGGCACTCAACTTGCAAGATTGTATTCTCAATACTTGTACGCTAGAGGAATTCAGAATTCTCCCTATCAGTAAACAAAAGCTCTCCACTTCCTCATCTAAAATCGAGCTCTCAACTTCCTCATCTGAAATCGAGCTCTCCACTTCCTCATCTGAAATCCAGCTCTCAACTTCCTCATGTGAGTAAAAGTAAAGGATTATCATTTTTATAACGGTGCTAGACATGAATCCTCTGAGAACTACCTCCCACTCGCTTGCCGTCAACATCGACATATCTCCCCTACAAATATCGAACACGTGTAGGTGTGTAAGAGTGTTGCAGTTGCCGATTGCCTCCAGCACTCGAAGGCGCACTTTGCTTCGCCACCCTGTGATCGTCGAGAGCGATGCACGCTTGGGAAAGAACTTCCGCAATTCTCGCTGTCGTAAATAGGGAAGCGTCGTCATAGGCTCGCCTTTTCCTTCCAGACGCCATATAAGGTCCTGGACAGCGAAGGGAAGCTCCGGTTCCTCGTATGCAGAGTCCATTCCCCGTGTCTCAGCAGCGTGACTGACTATGGACGCACCTGCACCTTCCATTCTCTCCTCCACTCGCACAGAGTAAGAAACGTTTGCTGCTTGGCATGCGCGAGCGAAATGTCACCTGGCCTACATGAGACCTCCTCCTCGATCCAAAGGACCAGCTCACCCGAAGAGCACTAACTTCCCGTCGCACTGTCACAACTTGTGTGCATGTGCGTGTTGGGCATGACACTTCTTGCACTCTGCATGAGGAGATACACAAAGATAAATCTTACCTCTGGAAACAATCGGATCAAGAGCAATCACAACGAACGCAGGGAGATTGCGCAAACTGGAAGTAAGAGGTTGTTCGGACTCACTGCAGGGCAAGACAAGCTATGTGAATCAAAATCAAACACAAATAATCACTATTTCGATTCCAAATCAAATACTAGAGTTTGTGCAAAGGGGACTTCAAACCTATTGTGAAGTCGAGCGGAAAGAGCTGGTTGATTTGCACTGGTGACCCAATTGAGTGGACAAGCTCTAAGCTCTGCAGGTGAATCTGAAATCCAAAAAACTAGTTCGTAGCAAAGATCAAGCTATGTGGTCTCAGAATGTCATGGAAAGCATGGAATCGCAGATATTAGAGATGTGAAGCACTCTGCCTTGTGTAAAACTCCAGGTCTATTTGGACGGGGAAAATGCGAATCTAGCTGGACGGGGAGAACGCAGAGAATGCGAATCTAGCTGCATCAACACCCACGGGGAAGACAGACCCTCCAAAGTGTAGCGCGTAGAAATTTGCAGCTTAATCATCGGATCTTCTCTTTAGATTGTGGATGATCGAGGTCAAGACAACAAACGAACACAACAAGCGTGGTCCTCCATACTCGGTGTGAGTGGAAAGTTTTCTTAGAAGGTCAAAGCGAATCTTGACGTTGTTGTGCAAGCGAACGTGATAATTGAGTGAATGCATCAGTGTGCTGATACACGCGATGTCGTCACGCTGAAAACAGAGATTTCAATCGTCATCTTCATTGAATGCTTTTTCCTGGAATCTGTGGACTATTAAAGCAAGTTGATGTAGTCTGACAACTGAGAGGCACATGGGTAGTCATGGGTAGTCAGCACGGTGGACAAAGCCTGTTGTGCTTTTTTCTTGCTTTGAAGATGCGGACAGAAGTATCACGCAGTATCCTGTCCGGCTACACAATTTTCAAGAGCATAACCGCGTGCCAGATTGCTTTTCAGGTCTCGTAGAATCACGAAGTATCCTGTCCGGCTACACAATAGTCAAAGCATAACCGCGTGCCAGATTGCTTTTCAGGTCTCTCGGAGAATCACGAAGTATCCTGTCCAGCTACAGTTATGGGTGAGTACTATCAAGTTGATGGGTAGGAAAACAATAACAAATAATTGAGTATAATAAAAAAATAACAGAATTGCAGATTTTACCACAAGTACGATGTTCATGGATAATTGAGAATGATTCTTCGGAATGCTCTCAAACACCTAACATCGCCAAAGTGAATTCTACCAGCATCTCTTAAGCACAACGTGACTGCTGTCTTGATGCTTGTTCCTCTGGATTGCAGCGTATGGGTCTCAGGAAGAAATTATTCACCATGTGGGTATGAATGAAGAGTTATTACGCTGCTGAGTTCGATAGAATTCGATGTTCTTTGTTTGCTCGCAGTTCAGAGCCAGTCCGTAGGATGCTGAAGGAAGATTGAAGAGCTAACTCCGAGTATCATTCCGCGAGAAAGATGGAAGATCCATTCATCTTGGAGAATATTTGGAGCTTCCAGATAGCCATAGGTCTTCAAGATATTCTAAATTCGAGAAAGATAACATATAATAATTTAATTTAGTTTATATTTCTAATCTCGGATAGTGGCATTACGGAATTCTTGACTCGAAGTGAGTGGTCGGATTTGGTATGAGCTGTCTCCCAACGTCTACTGGTCGTAAAGGAATCTTGAGTATTTGTCATATCCTCCCTAACTTAAGTTTCCTATTTATCCTTAAGTCTTAAAGTTAAGGTAAGACTTCGAAGTATCTTTCATATTTCCTAGGGAAATAAAATTGCGAAAAATTGTGCATTTTTTCAAAAGAAGTGTGCATAATAGGCGTCCATTTAGTGGTCACCTTTTATGCATTTTGCCTCTTGTGTGTCCATTTAGTGGACACAAAACACGTCAACTCTTTGTATCCAGCCAAAGTTGCAATCTGATTCTTGATAATTTCATTCTCAACTCAAAACTCCCATTGCACAAGAAGTTGAAAGTCCTTCGGGATCATGAAAAACAGACACAGGTTTAGCAAGAACAGAGAAGAGTATGGAAGAGTGAGAGTGGTAGACGAGACAGCTGAGCAACTTCTTGTGCAATTGAAGTTTTGAGGTGTAGATAGATTTTTCAATAGTCAGATTGCAACTTTGGCTGGAAATGATGAATTACAAAGAAAGGATGACTTATCAGTGTTCAGAGTTGTTTTCTAATGTAACTTAAAAGTACAATTACCCTGTTGCGTGGTTGGTGCGATTGAAACGATCGGGTAGTGCAGTTCAGCTTAAAGAGGGGCCAGACCTCCTGAAAAGTGGCATTTTCTTAAAAAGTGTCACTTTTGCCACAATTAAATTTGGGTCGATGTCACAATTAAGCCTTTGAGCCCGTGTTTAGTGTTAGTGTTTCTGAGCGATTGTGTACAGAAATCCAAGTAAGGCATGATCATCTGATGGATCTAATTTTCGAAAGAAAACAGAATTATATATATGGCGAAAGTTTTTATAATTCTAATGCCAGAATATTCTGGGTATGAAACCGAGTTTCTCCCCTAGGTAGCGGTCGGCCCGGCTCGGCTGGAGCCGGCTCAGCTCATGGAGCCGGCTCAGCTCGGAGCCGATCGCCATGACAGAAGCCGGCTCGACTAAGTCGTAGCCGAGCCGGTCTGAAGCCGGCTCCGCCGGAGCCGAGCCGACCCCTAGTGAGTCACTACTGCAAAATGATGTAACATCTTTTCTTAACAACAATAACAATTGGTCACCAGGTGAAAGATCCACTTAACTATTCTGCCTCTGAGACGAAGATATAGAGAAATTTTACTGTGAGCCAATCTCTTTGCGTGATCGATACCATGCTGACCTGTGATCCATTCATTAGCGGTAAATCGCCTGTCAAGAAGCCGGCTTGAGCCGCTCTCCCAGAATCGAGCCGGCTCCGAAGCCCGCTCGAAGCCGGCTCAAGCCGGAGCCGGGCCGACCTCGTCACCGGGCAGAGCTCGCGTTCCCCCTTTTCTGAGGAGCCCTCAGTGACGAGGCGGGCCGACCCCTACCCCTAGGATTGAAGACAGGTGAGATCACTCATCTTCGGATGAGGTTTTGAGGAGGAATACAGTTCACGTCTCCTGGATTTTGGAAGTTGTCACTATTCAGTTGAAGCCGCGTATCCTCATCGTTTGGATCACGGACTTCTAATTCATTTCTTCTCACGGACTGGCACTCTGTGCTCTGAGCATCCTCACCGTGAACAATCATGCGGCCCGTTCATGGAATCTTCTAAATTCATGGCTTTAGCTGTCCGATGAATATCATGAGGGCGGAACCTAAGTTAACCAAAACAGAGAAACCACCCTGCCTGGCGTTCTCGTGAAATAAGCTCAATCTCTTATGGTTTCAAGACTGTCACATCAGTTTGTCAATACAAATGCCACTTTTCAGAAATATTGGACGCCACAATTAACGAAAAGGTGGCAAAATTAGCAAATGCCACTATTAAGGAGGTCTGCCTTAACCCCATACCGGAGACTCAGAGTAGATTAACGCAGCCGCGAACCTCCTTCCATCACGCCGTGATGACCAAAGCCTAAACGAGTAAAAAATCCTGGGAAAGATTATTCAAGTACAAGTGCGCATTTGGGAGGAAGTTGATCGTGGTGAATTTCTGCAGTGGATAGCATTAAATACTCTTCTCGTGTCATTAACTGACACAAAGCGATTGCATTGCTTATATGAATGATTTTGACGATAAAACAGACCACCTTCCAAGGTGAAAAGTACTACCAGTCTCCTAGTGCTTGCCCCATCTTTATTCTCTCTCCATTCGCTACTGTGAATCTAAAATTTCTACTCTCAGACCGGGATTTTTCATGAGCTGATAACTCTTCTGTCTCTTCTGAAGGTGCTTCAAACACAAGAACCACAGTGGATCCAAGGTTAAAAACTGCCACCTGTACACAACACATGAATCAAGTAGAAGGTCAGAACAGATGAGAGACCAGGTTCATTCGGCACTGATATAAGAACAGACGTCTGGCAAAATTCTCAGGTCATTGAGAGGACAGAACTGTGTTTGAAAATAGGATAGTTTGCAAGCATACCTCTTCCCCTGCTTTCACATTAAGACCATTTTGTCCATATAAGTGCGTGAGTTTATGGTGGCCCAAGATAATCCTACTTTTGGAATATTTGTTTTCAGCTCAGGTTCAAACTTCAACTGCAAAATTGAGATGCCTTTGTCAGAAACATACACGATTTATCATCATAGTTCCGAAACGATTCACATGTTCAATGTGATTTTAAAAACAAGCGACAAAATCAAGGTCATACAAGACGGGTCAGACCTCTATTGAGCCGACATTGGTTGCGCCAACAGCTGCCATAGCCATGAAGCCCTGCGACCATCTACCTTCTAATACCACCTGGTTGAAAAAAATTGGGTCAGAGATAATAAAATGATAAATGAAGTAAACAGTGGTTCTCGATGAGGAATGAAAACTACAGCAACCCAGTAGCACTTCAAAATTACAATTGGTAACTTTAGTAGCACAATGTTCGTATGAATGCAAAACCTGAATTTGTCTCAATCAGCATCTAGTAAAACTGAGCGAAGCACAACAACAACCCATCCAAATTTAAATATTCGTTGACAGGTCTAGCCTCTTCCTCTGTTTTCGGAAGGGAATCTTCGTTCAACGTGGATCAGTTGCACTACGTCAGTTGACTGTCCTTGTCTCGACCCCATTTGTCCATACTCGGATGTTGAAATGAACGATGCTGCTCATATTCTCACCGAAGGCACGATCTTTTACATTTCTAGAAAAACTTTTTAAAACTAGGTTGAATTAAAGGAACACATTGAACTTGAGATATAACCGCTACTGCGCCTTCCTACTGCATGATATTATTGAACAGTCATGGCATATTTCCTTGATAGCAGTTTGGATTTCACATTAAGATTTATAAGATATTCAGCTTTCATTGAGACCACAAAGCAAGAACAATTCATACATCTATATTGAGAAGAATCATTTTCTTTCCGATTTGCACAGAAACGACAAGCAACTGCACCAGATTGTAATCTCACTCCTCTACACGCACCACAACTGCCACATAATGAAGTTCAGAGACACCTACCAGCACTGCTGAAGGTGCTAGAAGTAGGAGTAGTCATCCGGAGAAACGATCGAGAAAGCATGAAGTTGGCAATAAGTCAAAGATGACCCTCGTCACACTTCTGCAGTTGGTAAATTCAACCCCAAATCCTGAATAGACGGCAGTAAGTTAGGTGAAGGAATACGCAGCTATCCTTTCAGGCAATTGAAAGTGCATCAGCTCAGCGTCAGGATGCGGCGAAGCTCGTAATAATCATCATAGTGAAAATCTCCTTGACCGTGATTACGCAGCGTAGCACAAGTGAGGACATGGCAAACGGGGCAGGAAAGTTGAAAGCAGAAACTCGTGACTCTCCTAGCCAGCAGGATCTTGAGGCCCGTGTAGAAATATTGCGTTAGGGAACTTCATCCAGGTCGAAAACCCGGAACCCAGTAAGAGTGATATAATTATCAGTAAAGAATCACTTAATGAATTGGTACAAATTACACTCCGAGGAATACAAAGGCAGAGACTATGACGCATTTGCAAATCACCACGTGGAACAAGAGTAGCGAGCGTGAGGCGCAGGGCGATATCATGTTGAACTGTTGAAAGGCTAATAGATGCTGTCCTATCACTGCGAGTTAGTTCTTCTGTGGATCGAACAATTGATGCCAGTCGAGGTCACTTCTTAGAGTATCAGGACTAGCGGAATAGAACAAGCACAAAATCATCCCATTGTCAATCTACAGCATTTGCTGTAGATTGCTGCTGCAGAATTCAGGTAATTGCCACCTCATACTCAGGCCTCACTTCTCGAATGTACTCTCTCTCATCGTCTCGACTTCGAACTCATCCAAGCTGTCCAGCTGCCATGCAGCCAGAGAGACAAGCGACTCGAGGAACAGAGAAATTTCTCTGTGTGCAATTCAAACACGTCCACGTCGGCGTTGACACACTGAGCTGGGAAAGCGCATTTGGCGTGCGCAAGAAAGCGAGCAGACAGCATGGAACGGCGGCCGCTCTGCCAGACAAGCAATGGGCTGAACACGAGATCACACACCGATTCCACAGACAGCTTTGTCCGGAGGACGTGGCGCTCAGGACTCTCGGGCCGAGAGTCCTGAGCGCGAAGTGTGGGACGGTAAGGAGGCCCTGAGTACAGGGTTCATGACCAGAGATATATTTACTGTTATATACATTAAATATAATAAATTTGAATTTCGATGAAATTTATTTTATTCATGATTATATTGAATTTGTTATAATTTAGTGTGAAAAAATTATAAAATTAATTAATAAAAATAAATATATTATTATGTGATTTAATTAAAAAAAACTTCATATCATGGATATGTTTATTTTCTTAACTTAATAAGATTTTGATTCGTTTCACTAACTATAGACTCTTACATCCAAAGAGTAGACAAGTAAATGGAAAGTTGGAAACCTAAAAGATCAAAATGAACAAATTAAAATATGTACTATATGAAACTTTGCTATGAATAAATTTGGAAATAAATTAATTTAATTTAATTTCTACTATACAAAATTTTTTAAGTATGAAGGTAAAATACCATTCACCAAGCAAGTTTTGGGACTGAAGCTTCACATGGAGTAAAATATTGATCATCAATGAAAATTGTTTACATTGAAATCGAGTTTGAGTCTTTGTGAGAATTAACATAAGAGTGTGCAATTAAAAATAAGATTGTTTATGTTAGTGAATATAAGGTGTCATGTCATCATGTTGGAACAAGTATTTGTAAATTGATCATAAGCTTTTGAAAAAACCTCAACCTAAATCCTTTATACTATTATTCTGGATATCACTAGCCAAAGATGAGAAACATGTTGCATCCTATTTTACTTTTAACATTTATTTTTACGCAAGAATTGGACAAATATTTAATATCATGTCAATATACTATGACATACTCAAACATTTTGGATTCATGATTTTATTAATGATGTCTATGAAAGTATTTCAAGTGTGATAAAAATGTTAAGAAAAATAAAAGACAAAGATGTTTGTCTTCCTGCCATTTCTTAAATCAAATGCTCAAAAACCTTGATCAAATAATATAATGAAAACGCTCATGATCAATTTATGCGTGGTAAGTTTATAGATTTTGAGATTATTGTGCAGATAAGATAGGATATACAAAAATGTATAGCAATATTGGATGAGAATTCACTAAACGACATATGTGCGAGTTTTAATCCAGCTAACATTACTAGAATACATTAAATATTTTTTGGATATAATACATACAAAACCATGCTTTAGGAGTTCAAAACATGGAGAAAGAAACTTGCATTTGAAGCAAAGATAATACGGGAGACATTATTTTATTACATCATAAAAATAACATACCTTCTATTATTAAAAATAGTTCAAAGAAATCAACTAGGCTTCAAGCCAGATCTTCTGTTGAAGAGTGCAGAAAGTTTTGCTGAACATATTACTATTAAGTTATTTATAATTGAATGGCCATGGCTTACAAGTGAATTTTTATTATTGGAAGTTGTTATTTGAGTTGTATATATTAGATTATTTTATAACAATGGATGATTCACATGCACACAATGATGACAAGTGTACATATGTTAATAGTATATTCAAATTTGAAGCCTATTGAATTTTTTTGTTAATGAGATACACTAAATACTTTTCAATCTCTACTCCAGCCGCTGAGGAATGGAGACAAAGATGTGAATTCATGTTGTAACTCTTGAATTAAAGCATCTGTTAGATATTCAATATTATATGCAAAGATATAGGCTGTTATTCATATCCTCTTCAAATATGTTTCCATTTATGATCAAATTTTATATTATAAGGAAAGTGTTCAAAAGAGGTATTTAAAATGTAAGAATTTATAATAAAAAATAAATCAAAATCGATTTAATTTTTCTGATCTTATTAATAGTATTGAGTTATACAATAATTGAAATGAAAAAAATTAAAATTTTCTAATTTTTAATGCTGTTTGAAATATGTGTTATACATATATATATATGGAAAAAAATTCCAAACACCTATTTTATTTTTTGATGTTTGCAATAAACTATGTGTTGAATGTCATGACTAACTTATTCATAGTTCTTGAATATTATTCAAGAACTAACTAATACTTAAGCTATTAACTAATGTATTTTAAATAATATTGGAATCGAGTCGGATTTTATTAAATCTAAATCTAAATCTAAACTTCCAATTTTTTGAATTTCAAAAAATCATAAAACATTATTTTTTTTGAAAAAAAAATGTATCTTATTTTGTTCATGTTAACGTGATCATAATGATAGAAAAACACGTATACTCATTTACAAGTTCATTCAATCATGAATGAACTTGTAAGATGGATAATCACTCCTGCATTGTTTTGATTAATAAATATAACTTGCGACATTCAAATCTTTTCCACTAGCAAAGCTTTTACTTTTAAATATCGTAAGTACTTAAAATTGAAGATTTTATTTTCCCACAAAGCTAACGTGTTAATGATTGACAATTCTTTCATAATCTATTGTAATTTTTGCATATTTCTTTCCATTAATATTTAAAATAAAATTCTAGTAAAATTATTTCTCTCAATGAGTAATAAAGTTACAGATTTTCTTATTTTTAGAAATTCTGTCTTCAAAATTTTTTAGATGATATAAATTAATATTTAATATAATAATTGGATATTAAATTGAGGACCACAAGTATATTACGTGCAACTTTAGCTGTAATTGCTAGAATACACTGATGATCTTAACGTAAATTTATTTCTCATAACCAAAATTACAGTGAAATAAATTTGGTTATTCAGTTAAGTATATACTGAATAATTTCAATACTTTCGAACTATTGAAAATTTGATAATAAAAAATAATCATTTTTTAAAATTAAGGCTCAAAACTGCTCTAAATCTAAGTTTTTGCATTGATTAGATTGTGAGATCATTAAAAAACATTTGGAATTTTATATGATTGAATCTTGCTACAAGTTGATCTAATGTTTCATATATGTTTGATTTCTTGTATATATTCAATATTTTTATTCTGAATTGTAAAATTTTAGATTTGAATCATTTAAATCATGAGCTGATTTTTTTTGGCTAAATTTTAACATCATCATCTATTTTATAAGAGATAAAAGTAATGTAAGTATTTCATTTGAGTTATTTGCTCCTTGTAAATTTGGCTTTATAACTGCTGAATAAAAAAATAGTCATTAAAAAAAATGCGGAATTTTTCAAATTTTATAATTCATTCCTCCATAATTTTGAGATGATTTTAAGATACTTCCAATATATATAAAAAATTCATGAAGAATAAAATCATTTTTCATTTTTCTGCATGTTCTGTGAATTTTTTCATTCTTTTTCAGATCTAAGATTTATGCTATTACTATTTTCTGCTTTCAAAAATATCGAAAGAATTAAAATAATAAATTTAGAAATATTTTTCTATAAAATTTATTTATATTCTTGATTTTTAACTAAAAAATCATTTTTAGCTATATTCTATAATTTTGATTTCTCATTTTGCGCTCGAAATTCGATTTATGTGTTTTTTTCAAATTAAAAGTCAGGATTTGAGAATTATATATACAGGTAATTGATTGAAAATTTTCAAATTATTCTAAGAATATATAAAATTTACAACGACTGAAGTTTAAAAAAATATGAAAAGAAAAAGAATTAATTCAAATATTCCAACTCAATAAGTTTCAATATTTTTCGCCAGATTGAACTTAGATTCATGTCAAAAACATCAACTCTATCAAAATTTATTAGTTTTCTTATTATGTTAGAATCATTTATAGTTTTAATATTGTTACAAAAATCTATAAAGTAAATTTAAAAAGATTGTTATTGATAAAGGTATTTTGAAAAAATTATACGCTAACGCTCATACCTATATACATATTATTTCAAAACTCTTTGAAAGAGAATTATCAAATATTATTTGATACTAAAATTTCATCATTTTCTAAAGAAGTGAAGAAAGTTCTATATTATGGCACTTAATTATAGTGATCGTGTTTAGTCACATAGTAGGCCTGCATAATCATATTCGTCTAAGTGGATACGACATTTCACTTTTCATATCATTATGATGTATCGGAAAATCGATGAATCTAGCAAACAACGAAAAGCGTTGTTGGCATGGCATTGTTGGACCGAGTAGTGCAGGGTTTAGTGATTTATCAACGTGAAACTCATATCCCCTCCCGTGAAAATCCTGGTACTTGGATGATGTATGCTCCGGCATTTTCGAGACGAGAGACGTATGAGGTTATGAGCAGCAATCTTGCGAAAAAAACCATATTTCGAGTTTCATGATAAATTATCATTACCTTAAACTAGGATCAGAGTTTTATTCATGATAATTGTTTTATCTTGGTGAAGGCCCCAAACATGCTCCTTTATTTCTCCTCCCCTCACAAAGGGGAGGAGAAAGGGAGAGCCCTTAGCGAGCGAGCGCGAGCGGGGCAAGCTAAAGCGGGAGGGCCCTCCCTCCCTGGTCGAAGCGGGAGGTCGGGCTTTCGGGCCCTCCCCGGGAGGTCGGGCTGCGGGCCCGGGCGGGCAGAAAGCCCTCCCGGGCAGACCTCGCGTTCCCCGAAAGTGGGGAGCCCTTAGTGACGAGGGCAGGGATCAGCTCCCTCGCTCGGAGCACGTAGAACAGGCGACGCATATTTATGAGGTGGGATGCAGGATCTCTGTATCAGGGTCCGGCAGCTCATTCGAGTCCAGTGGCTGCCAGAGGGACGGGCACGCCGTCTGCCAGTTTCTCTCTAAATTTCAGTCCGGGTCGAATCTGCAACGGTCTGGATCTGCTCTTTTCGTCGGACTCCAGCGCTGCCGAAGAGTTCTTCTGAGCACTGGCGAAGACTTTCGGATCAGGCCGATGATTCGGGTCTAGATTTATGACGGAACGTGGAATCGTCTGTGGTTGTGGTTGCAGGATTCGAATTCGAGCTCAAATTCCAGCGCGCAACATCACCATAGAGATATCCCTAGTGCTGTGTGTCCTGGCTGTTCTAGTTTGTGAGCATGCAGCTCTTGCGCAGACTAGTACTGTGTGTAATATACGGGTTCCACCTAAGCTCCGTTAAGAGTATGATTCGTTTGTCACGTGTTTGGTTTCGATGGCCCTGTGATCTACGAATCTTAATCAACAAATGTAATAACAAACTCATGCAGAAGGAAAATTCCTGCCAAGCGCATAAAAATGTATTACAATTTTCACTTACATATCCACGACTGAGACCTAGTAGAGTAAGCCTATTTCGTCTTCATGACTTGTCGCCAAGTTACTGTTGTTTGATCTGCAACTATCGAAAAACATTCTACTGATCAACATGCCCATAAACCAGAAAGGAGATAGTCGAAATTCCAACTGAACAGGTAATCAGATATATTTTACATCACCAGTACGATACAAAGTGAGAAGAGTACACTATGGTCGTGAAACAAATGTCCACAGTTCTTCAAAGCTAACCCCGCACAGTACTGACAAACGACTAAACCACTTTCTGCCACATGCTAAAACTAAAGATCTGATAAATGCATGAGACTAACTTAAAGATACACTTCAGTCAAGATTATTGACTAAAAGAAAGAAAGGATACAAAGAGGACAGCAGTGTAGACAGATTTCATGATCTAAATCCGAAGTCAACCCTGATTCCGGAATAAATCTTCGAACAAGTAAAATAGGATTTTTCGTTAGACAGCCTGAGAAACTCAAAGAAAGTGCGTATAATTGGTGCTACTAACTTCATGCTCAACACCTGCCCCAGTTAGCACGGAGAACTGTAACAAAGCAACTTTCGACCTGTGTTCACCATGATGTCATCCCAGTTCTCACCTATGGCCCCAGAGCAACTCCTGATCAAATTCGATTACGAAGGCCGCAGAAATCATCCCCTCTGGACTAGATCTACATAGATGACATCCGACCGTTTCTTGCATCTTCCCGGCTGAAAAAAGAAAGATTGAAAACGGGAGAAAATGATCGGTATAGATCAATCGCTCTCATAATTTTACCACGTGAATTCATTCACTCCCTTGGAAAAAATCGAACGGAAGTAGTTGCATTGTGAGTACTCATCCACCCAAAACTAGACAATTGGTGAGTAATTAATTTGTTAATTTAACAAAACCTAGCTCCTGCGACTCCTCTTATCCCTCTCCCTTTCCCTTTCTCTCTCTTTCTCTCGATCTCTGTCTCTGTTTCTCTCTCGATCTCTGTCTTTATCTTTCTCTCTAGCATGTTCTTCTCTGTCTCTAGTGACAACCTTCTCTCTATCTTTGACTTCTCTATCTCGCCCTCTGTCTTTATCTCGTTCTCTATCTCGTTCTCTTTCTCGTTCGCGTTCCCTATCTTTTTCTCTATCTCTATCCTTTTCTCTATCTCTCTCTCTACTCGATCGATCCTTCACGCGAGAAGGACTTCTGCTGCGACTTCGACTCCTTGTGCGCTTCTTTGAGAAACCGAATTCCCTTCTTTCGTCTCGTCTGTCCTTTCTTTCCCGGGAACCTCTTTCTGATACATACCAAGCAAGATGAGTAAGTAGCAATCCACTTCCCATAAAACTAGAGGGCTGCTCGTATACTATATCATACCATACAACGAAACACTCCTGCATGTACTTACATGAACTTTGATCTGGAAAGAGAGAAAAACGACGTGGCATCATTGGACCACACTCCCATAGAGAAAGGATGACAGTTGCAATATCCCGGTCACTTCAAATCAGAGGCCCTCACATGCTAACATCACCTGTATCCTGTTGAGTGCCTTGAGTGGCGTTCTGTTGATGATTCCTATGTACCAAGTGTACTATGAATAGGAAATATGAAGGGGCCAATCTTCGAAGGCTTCAAATGGAGGAACTGTGAGGGACGGTAATGGACAGATGAATACACAAACAGATGCAGAAAGCGACCTAACCCCTGTAATAATCTTCAGCTCGTGTAATGGAAGTGACTAATAGGAAGAAACAAAACCCGGTAAGTATACGCTTACAAGATACTGAGAGACAGAAAGAGTACGAAGAGTTGGAGCTTTACTGAGAATGGGACTCAGCATTGTATATATAACGCACACGATGTATTAGCTGCGCTGTTTACTTAATTTCTAAATTTAGGAGGTTATCTAATAATAACAATGGACACACTGTGCTCATACATGCGATCCATGCTGTGAGTAAAAATATGGATCGCATCAAGCTCAGTGTATGTCAAATGAGTAAAATTCTAGAAGGCAACTGACGCATGTTCCGCTATGGCTACTATTAGCAGTATGGTTTATGGTAGCGGACATTAGACCTGGTTATTTCTCGTTAAGAACAATAAAGAACAGGATCTGTAATGACACTCTTGTGTATTCCTCATGTGCTTCTAGAAAAAGCGAACGCAAAGAAGTTTGCGGAGCAACGCAGAGGTCAAACATAAGAAATTAAGCGGCATGGATATTGCAGAGCTTCACACACAGAGTCTTAATATCGCATGGAAAGAGCATAAAAAACCTAAGCCTTGATAGTATCAAGCGTGAGTCACAACAGTCAGTTCTTAGTGAGCATATGATGAGCAACAACCCCCGCAAGAACATAAAACTTGTTGATATCTTGTACAAGTTATAACGATAATATGAACTTGAAATCCACCTGATGAGCGTAAAAAACCTCTTTCAGATCCCAAGTCGCCACCTTTACTGTTCCGATCTCTTCCAGACAGAGAGGGTCCCTCCGACAGCCCACAATCGACTTCCAGCCTTTTCCTATGTAGCGACACTTTACGCTCAATCTCTTCAGAGCTTTTCAAACCTCGTTCTTCTAAAGATTCTGTGTACTCCATCACAGATACTTCGAGCTTCCGCAGCTTTTGCCTGCATACACGAACGACTGATGAATGAGAAACATGATCCAGAAGGGTCAGTAGACAGAGGAGGGACTAGAAAATGGCCGAAACGAAGGCCGACTTGCTCGTTCTCCCGCATAACTCCTGAAACCTCCACAAAGGCCAAGGCTCGCGTAGCTAGCCGGAATTCGTTGGGCATGTACAATGTATCGAACAACAGTTGACAGAACTCCTGAAGGAAAACTAACCTTCTTTCCTCATCCATGCTGGTATCATTTGCAGCGCCAGCTATTGTGTCAACGCGACTATCTTGTCTATCAGGCTTAGGCGTGCCTCCATATAAATCATCACTTCCTGATGAAGAATATTCCAAACCAAGCCCCATCCTGTCTGGTTTCTCATCCTCATCACTCGCCTCGTCTTCCCTTGTCCATTTCGAGGCTCCCAGCCTCGAAATGGACAAGGGAAGACGAGGTCCACCTTTTCGGGCTTGCTGGAAAATACTTTTAGCTCTGGCTGAGGTAAAGCCAGTGTTGAAGGTAACGAGCCAGTCCTTGAGGAACCCGGGCCTGACCTTCCCTCTCTGGAAGCTCGTACAGTGCTATCCACATCTTCATCTTCTTCATACCGAGGCCATTGTACTCCAAGCCCAGTTGTTATTTCCAACGAAAGACCTTGTCTTCTATCTTGCTAACGCCATCGCCATTTTCATCAACTTCTATTTTATCCCTCTCATCCCGACTGATTTCCTTCCACCCAGTTCCCACTTCTGTCCAACCCTCGCCAGCACCCCACTTACCCTCTCCTCGCATTCTGAACATACCATCTCCATCCTTCACAGCAACGCCTTTATTGTGAAGTGAGTAACCTTGCCCAGCTTTGGAGTCATCTTCTGGCTCATGATTCTTTTGTTTCTCGGCCTCCTCTAGACTAAGAAGACGAGCCACCATAACCTCTCGGCCACCTCGAGTCGAAAGCCCGTTATGACGACACCTCCTTTCAAGTTCAGCGAATGGAAGATTTGCTAGTTCCCTTGCGGCAGCTCCTTCTCCAATTGCTAAAGCTGCGTCTTGCCCTGTGTCTGAGCCTTCTCCAACGTACAAACCAGGCTCCCCATCAGTAGGTATTCCGTTCTCTTTGCCCGCTAGCGCGTCTCCATAAAGCGTGTGAAAAGGAGCAACTCCAGAGTTGCCCGGGCGAAGGAAAGTTGCTCTCAAGCCATTGACATAAGCATCTGAAAATAAGAACCAATCTGCCCAAACCTGGAGCACTTTCAACACGCGCTCCTGCATTTGACAAACGCAGGTTTGAAGTTCAAAAACAAAACACTACATGCCAACGGATTACAGGTCATCACAGGCTTAAATCGCCCAATGCTAAGTGACAAAAGGTGAACTACATTTAGCAAACACAACATCACTAGAGCAAACCAAGAATCTCAAAACCACCTTCAGAATTCAATACATTCTACGAAAACAAAGTACTCCTATCACGTGATTTCATATAAGCAGGTCATGTAAAAGACCTTCAAAGCCTCCGCAGTGATTCGCCCTGTTATATTGCGATACAGATCGTTAAAACTTTCCATTATATCAGGTAGACGAGACTCAAAAACGGTCCGGTAGGCTGATGCATTCTTCACAGGAGCACTACTATTATGTAGTACATCTGAGACAAGCATCAACCTCGCCACCTTAGTAGGTATGGGAGTCTCCTTCAGCGTCAGCGACTCTGTCAATACTTCCACAACCTACCACAAATACAAACATTTGAATAGTTATCTACATGCGACTATAAAGCTACAAAACCAGAAACGAAAGAAGGAAAACATGGAAAAAATTCAATTACAACGAAAGCTTTATACTCGCATTAGATCCAACTTCGCACCGTTTCCACATTAGATTCATTTCCGGAATGTGCGGATGCGAGTAATACAGATTTCTGTGCTCACCCATATGCAAAACTGAGAAGACATCTTTTAATGCTGACTACTTATAATGTTTTACCTCTCCAGCTGCTTCTGAATTATCAAGAGCAAAGCCCATTGCTTCGCATATCTGACTTCCTTCCAGTGTCAGAGCTCGTAGCATGTCCTCGAATTCATCGCGCTGACTGTCAGTCAGTGAGCGCTCTTGGTCGGTTCTCTGCTGAGAAGAGAAACACGGTTAAGAGTACATTATATATAAACTATTCTCCTCCAGCTACTCGAGCAGACGGAGAATGAAGATGTAAATAGATCCAACCACAGCACCAATCTGTTCCCTATAACTGTCAAAACTAAAATCTTTCGAGTACTTGTACATCCTGCAGATTTGAATAGAAACACGTTTTACACGATGCACACCAGAAGTGCTTACATTACGACTCAAGCTCTGTACACAAAGCTTCTGGACATTCTTCGGCTACAGATGGAATTAAATCTCAGGATGCCCGAACAACCTCTCTGAGTGCGACTTCTGAGAATACGAAAAGCAGCAGTAAAGATCCAGATCCTGCACTATCTGAAGATAGTAACATTGCAGCAGGGAAAGAACTAGACGAAGAACAAGAATCGAATATGGTAATCCATGGTAAAGCAGTGTCCATCTGATCATTTCAGGAGAGAACAAGCATCCGACTGAAGGTTCTTCCGTACTCCACGATTTTATGTCCTATCCCCATGATCAAGAAGGCCGCTTAGTCTTGCTTTATATAAAATGCAACTCTGATGAGTCATCAGAGTTGCATTTCATATCATCAGAGTTGCAGTCATCAGTGATGACTGTTCAGTTCTCAAGTATAGACTTTCCATGAAGGCTGAAGATGCAAGATTTCTCGGGTTCGTCCATAAATTTAGCCCCTTCCTTCTGATTTCTGACGTCGATCGATATGAACAATGTGGAGGCAAAGAAATGACCCATAGTCTTGATATATATGAACTGCAACTCTGATGACTGTTCAGTTCTCAAATACAGACTTTCCATGAAGGCTGAAGATGCAAGATTTCTCCGGTTCGTCCATAAATTCAGCCCCTTCCTTCTGATTTCTGACTTCGATCGATATGAACAATGTGGAGGCAAAGAAATGACCCATAGTCTTGATATATATGAACTGCAACTCTGATGACTGTTCAATTCTCAAATACAGACTTTCCATGAAGCCTGAAAATGAAGATTTCTCGGGTTCATCCATAAATTTAGCCCCTGGACACGGATACCTTCCAGTGTCGGATCATTACGCACAATTTTGAAACTTCGACACTATGCGTACTGCTCTGTATCCCGTGTGTCTCCACAATCCGCCCCTGGGGAGCGAAGGCCAGATTGTGGAGACACACAGGAGGCGGAGGAGCACGCACTTGCTGGCTACGCTTGCTGCACTCTTGAAATACGCAACTCTGCTGGCTAGCCATGGCAAACGGCTCTCGTTGTAGCTCTTGCTGTAGAGGGGAGAAATGGATTGAAGAATATAGCCATCACTACGTTAATTCTGTAATGTTGGGCTATGACATTAGTGCATGCTCACAGTCACGACAAATAACATCGTTTGCGATTCAGGATCTAAATGGGTGAGTCTCTATCGATTACTATTTTTGTTCCGTCCGGTAAGAGAGCCGCTTGCCCTGGCTAGTCAGCAGCTTTGCACCATCTGCTCGGCATAAATTAGTCCCCGATGGCTAGTGGAGTCGACGACGCTCCTCCTCGCATGAGTGGTAGGGGCTAATGGTTATATCTTCTCTTTATTGTGACCTGAAGCAGATCATCGTTGTTGAGAGTCAGGGGTCCGTGTTAAAGGGCAATTGTTCCATGAATCCACTGACATGGATCCGCTTGCTCACGATGTCATGATGAGGTTTTGCTTTGGCTTGTCAAGGGCTTTTGGAAAGAGAGGTTTGTTGTCATTTTCTGACACGTTTTTTGATGATGGGAACAATGTTCCATGAATCCACTGACATGGATCCGCTTGCTCACGATGTCATGATGAGGTTTTGCTTTGGCTTGTCAAGGGCTTTTGGAAAGAGAGGTTTGTTGTCATTTTCTGACACGTTTTTTGATGATGGGAACAATGGTGACGGACTTTGGACCGAGCGAGTTGGGTTCTCATCAGGAAGACGAGGTTTGAGCTTCCATCTTCTGCAAAGCAAATCAAAGCGAAGCAAGATGTGGACGAGCCGGCGAATGATGGTCGTAGACGTGATGTCCATGCTGGCATCAGTGACAATTTGGTCGTTGCTTTTTGAGGGGCTGCAACCTACTTTCCTCCTGCAGGTGAGTGACGTTCGGTACAAGGATAGCTGGTGCAGTCGGAGTCAATACAAGAGTCCCTCAGAATATGAAACAGTCTTGAACAAGTTGATGGCTGATCTTGCCGTGCTCGTTGCTGGAGCTGCAGAGGATCTTCGGGCGACCTCCGAGTTCGGCCTGTTCGCCACAGGGCCTGCAATGTCCAGGACTGGTCTAGTTCCGCTCTTTTTCTCTCTTTCTTTGTTAAAGAGGAATGAGAGAAAAGCAGCGAAACTGGACCACAAATATTGGGTGCGAAACCGCTCGAGTGACTTTGAACGACTGGAATATGATTTTGATCTCCATGATTCTATATATCACAAGCGCGTCTTTCCTCGACCCAGAATCTATTTGAAATTTGGTATTAGATGCTTATGGTGTCATGCGTACAGCTGAGTCAGTACTGACTGCTATGGAATCGACTGAACGAGAGAAATTGCTGGGAACTTTCTGTACATCATTTGAACCGTAGCCTGGAAGTGGAATTTGTTTCAAGCTCTTCGTTTGGGTTCATCGTTACATGCATTGGAGCATTCATTTCTTCTAGGTACTTCAGTTTGGCCGATTCAATACTCCTGGTCTAATGGATTTCTCTATATATGATAGATAATCAGTCGCGAAAACAAAGATTTTTTTTTGTGCCGCGTCCTCCCGCGCCCTCATCGAGAAATCATCAAGCTCATAAACATAGGCAAAGTGCCATTTGATGAGTAACTAAAAACAAGTACGAGAGACCTCAAAGAGCACCAATATACCTGCGAACGTAGATATCTTGTTTGGAGTGGTTTGTGTTCTGGCTTTTTGTTATGCAGCCCTTACGCGACCAATATGATGTCCTGCTCAGTGCGCTGAGATTTTTGAATCTCATTGGATCAGGTACTGAAGAAGATCAGTCAGCATATATCTCGCGAAGCCGACTACGGATGGGCTGATGGGTATTGCGCCCCTTAACTCGATAATCTGCAAGGTAGGTAGTCGAACTCAGAAGACCTGTACCCGGGCTCCGTTCTGTCGAGGTACTACGAGATTGTCTGGAATTGTTGATGTTGTTGAATACTCGTAGCCGCATGTACAAGCTCAATCTGTAAGGATCCTAGAATGGGACGAGACTGCCCTGCAAATTCTTCTTTCTTTTGCGGTGTAATTCGAGCAATGGCATTGACTCAGAACTTGACTTCAACTTCAATAAGTTAAGATTCTTGAATTTTTCACATTCAAATTTCTTTGTTGAATCTTCGGTTTATCTTCATTGCATACAGAGAAGATGGAATTATCAATAATTTACCAGTAATTTACCTAGGATTGGCTGTGCAATTGAAAGTAAGAACGGAAATAGAGAAGAGAAGGGCCATCACTGCACACAACTCGTGTTACAAATCCGAGTGTCCTAGCTGTCAACGTGCTGGACTTTCTTACGACTCATGAGTTTTAATCAGCTCTTGAAAGTGACGAGATTGTTTACCAATGAATGATTATATGTTCATACAAATGTATGAACATACAATCATGGCTTGCAGCTCGTTTTAGAAGGTGTGCGTTAACGCTAAAGCTTCATGCGAACGTCGAGTGGGAGGGATTGCGATCCTGATTATTTTATTTACGAGGAAGGTGAGCGACAGACCGCGTTAGTGGCGCTCGGACTCATTGCGCTAGCCGATGATGCGGACGTCGCTGAGTGAAGGAGTCCAGCCGACGAGGCGCGGTGAAGCGAGGCTTTATAAGCCAGGAGTGAACGTGAGGCAATGCGAGAGGTGCGGGGATGTTGTGAGTGGGAGGGGCCTTGTGATCGTCTTGAAGAGTGAACGAACCGGCTTAGCTCTAAGGGTAATGGTGCATAGACCAGAAAGCATGCAACCGTCCACAGTCATGCCTCGAGGTGCGACATTTTGACCGAGCTGCGAAGCATGCACATGGAGGACTCTCCTGCCTTGTGGATCGTCTCTTCTTCATAAAGCAACACTAAGCACGCTCAATTCCTTCCTATTCTGACTCGGAGCTACGTATAACCACCCTGCCCGCTGCATCGTCCGCTCTGATCATGTCGATTCTTCTTGCGCTCTCGTTCCTCGCTTTCTTCCAAATGCCGCATCTCTCATCAGCTGTTCCTGGTGAATTCGTCCAGTTCCAGAGGTTCTCGGCTGCGGAATTGCGACAAAGCCTCGGTCTCGAAAGCCTCAAGCTCGACGATCAGGAGTTTCCAGCTGATGAGAGCCGCAGCAATCGCGAGCTGGCCCAGCTTTCTTCGAGACACCTACCCAGACGCAGGACGGCAGAAGCAGAAGCTACGATTTGCATCATGTCTTCTTTAAAAACGAATCATGGTCTCCTCACGCTCGCCGCTTTCGACACAGGCCACTGACGCCCTTAAGTATACAGTAGAGAGGGAGGCCCGCTCGGGCATTACATACAGACGACGGCCTTTTGCAGCGTGGTGGTGGTGGTGTGTGAGAGTTGACACAGGTGAGAATGCTTAGACTCTAACCTCATCTGCCAACCATCAATGTTTTGATTCTGTTCTGTGTATAACACATCTAAAGAGATGGGAAGGGCATGTGTTTTAAGACCAAAAGCCCAAGATTTACGGTATCTCGTGCAGCTTGTACTTGTGCATTACACCGTGAAGACATCCGAAGGCACATATCTTGGAGTTTTCTGCATGCTTGTGCTTCGTTTAGTGCTTATTTTGAGGTGCTTGATTTCTCCGCTTTATACCCTAAACCCTGAACCTGTCTCTGAACTCTCAGAGACATAAAGCCGGAAAACATTCTTCTGGACAAGAATTACAACGCAAAGATTGTCGACTTTGCACTCGTCCGGCCCGCCAATGATTCAAATCACACTCTATTCACCATGAACATCGGAGGAACGAGGTACATCTAGAGGCCGAATTGGTTCATGTGTATCAAATAGACGACTGTTGCACTCAATTGGTGAGACTTGAATGTGGTATGCCCTTAGAGCACGGCACTAACAATTTGGATTACTTTCCATGCAAATACAGGGGCTACTTTTCACCAGAGTATGCACTAGAAGGCGTCGTATCCGAGAAACTGGACGTGTATAGCTTTGGTGTTGTCTTGCTGGAAATCGTTGCTGGAAGACAGTGCATCGATCTGAAGTTGCCACAGGAACAAAGTATTCTACGTTCCTGGGTGGGTGATTCTTAACTTACACTGCATCATTATAGCACGAAAATTCGAAATCCAGCTCATAAAGCTTCGGGCTTTTAGGAGAAACTCATCTGCCTCCTTTCTCTGCTACTCCTGCCAATTTCACTCATCAGAATACATGCGCGAATCTGATCACTGCTATATTCCTCTTCGGCCTCTCACACCCTCATGAAATGCGCAGGCTATAACGTTGTACACGGAAGGCAAGGTTTTGAACTTGGTCGATAAAAGACTGGAGGGCAATTACGACGAAGAAGAAGTCCTGCTCGTGGTGGACATGGCTCTGTCTTGTCTGCAAACAGATCCCAAGAAACGCGCAACGATGTCTCAACTGGTGAACGTCCTCATGAAGAACTCAAATGCAAGTGTAGCTGTGGACATCGTCAACGAGCTAAAATTCCAGACACCATACTTGTTGAGCATATCAGAGAACGAACACTACGTGGATACCTATCCTAGTAGACAAGGCGTTCAAGGAGAATCAGTCGAACTTGCTTTAATGTCATCATTTGCCACCGATTCACAAGCCTCGGTTATGGTGCCTCGATAGTGCGTACGTGAGCCGATGGGGCTGTGAATCATACAGTACATAGTTTCTGGCCTTTCTGCCAGCGGGCTTACCTTCAATCTTGTTGATTTCTCACCCTATGATCGAACTTCCAGACAGACACCACAATATTCTACTCCAAAACTTTAACACTCCACATCAAGAAGTAGATTCTGAAACCTTGCTGCCATGAGTTGCAAGGTAAAAGTGTCCACACCCTCCCAGGTCCACTATACGATACAGCCTTCCTTGTTCTTGAAGAAAGAGTTACGGTGACTAATGGCTTGGAAGGAAGTCTTGCTTCTATTCTACTTCCACTTCATTTCATTATACTAAGGTGGACCAATTCCACCTTAGGATCATCCTCTGAACATGGCGATTTGGCTCGTCCTTCTTTGTTATCAATGAAAGCAAAGAAGGACGAACACCCTACGAGGTCTAAAGATGAATACTAATACGTAGCATACTATCCATAAACCCCAATATAATCACGATGGGAGATATTTCGTTGTGTATCCAACATGAAGAAACTGTATGGGTTGATCCTTCTAGAAACAATAGTGTTGAAACCAAGCATGTAGTATGGGAACCCGAATCTGATCATGCCGAATTATATCGTAAGGAACCTCATGGCTATGAAAATATTGAGATTTGTCGATAGAGACCACCAAGGAACAGCCCAATTTGCCAACGACATCATTTCACATGCGCTGATTTCGTAGCCATACATACATCAGTTATACGCTAGCCATGGCTCCTTGAGTTGATGAGGTCACTTTTTCCAACCAAAGCAAGTGGCACAAAGAGAGCCGCTTGCCATAGCTAGCCACCGTCTCACAATTTGCTCGGCATAACTTCGTTACAGCAATATGTACATTGATCACTGTAAGATTATTGGGTCTGACGTTGCAGAAGGAAAACTCTTAAAAACGTCTAGTGAACTGTGTCTCGTTAACTTTTATGGGACCATTTCTGACGCTCACCGTCAGACGTCAAGAGCACAAAAGGTGAGACGCAATACAAAAGGAAGGGCAACTATCCAGAATTCGGACGTGCAACTGTTATGAATCGAATTAGCCCAATCCAAATGCCAAGATTTTCTGTGGGGTAAGGTTCTATGTTGCATAAGACAAGCGGAGATTGATCGGAGGAGCCTCAATCTAGCTCGTGGATGCTCCAATATTGCAGAGACATGGAGTGGATCTCCTACTTCTTGGGCTATAATAGTCGTATTTCCTGCCAAGTACATAAGCTCATGTCCCAATAGAGATTTGGAATCAGATGAAAGATCTAGCTCTATAAACATGTAAGTCAAGTAAGAAGAGACAACAGTAGCAAGCAGAGCCAAGCATGTGAAGAAGATTTGTCTCCAATACTCCTTGACAGAAAGAAAGCATCTTCACAGCCGTCTCATTAAACATGGTGGCAAGACTTGGTACTCAGAAAACTTTACGTTGGACCCGGTGGACCCACATTCGCAGAGTGCTGTCATGCTATCGATACCGGAATTTGCCAGTCGGGGGCCCCTTCCCGCTATCATGGATCATGTCCGGTTAGGAGCCCCGAAATCACCACGGACCTTGCTTTTGCTTCTCCTATCGGAAAGAAGAGACTTACGCTCTCGAGTCTTCATCGTGTCATCACGAATAAATTGTCTTCATCGTGAAAACTGAGAGATTCAAAGGACTGTTTTCTTTACCGTTTTGTGAATATCTGACCCACGTTTTAATTGCATCTTTGTCAATTGCTTTCTTTTAAATAAATTTTTCGTAAGAAAATCAAACGCTTAGCTTGTGAGGTAGACACTTGCGAACGTGTCTCCTACGGTTTTCTACCGTGGATAGTACCCAGAGATCGGAATTTGAGCTGTCGTGCTGCTTGAGACTTCTTCAGCTTATGTTTCAGATTCAGATTCTGGCGTTCCAGGGGAGTTGTGTAATATCTGGGCAGGATCAATCTAGTCGTGTGGCAGCAGGTTAGGAGCCACGGGATACGGTTCACTAAACAGAGTTTCAAAATTTAGCCTCTGGACTGGAAACTATCCGTGTCCAGGGGCTAAATTTATGTACGAACCCGAGAAATCTTCATTTTCAGGCTTCATGAAAAGTCTGTATTTGAGAACTGAACAGTCATCAGAGTTGCAGTTCATATATATCAAGACTAAGCAGCCTTCTTGATCATGTGGATAAGACATAAGATCGTGGAGTACGGAAAGAACCTACAATCGGATGCGTTTTCTCGAATGATCAGATGGACACTGCTTTTATCATATATATAGTACAGATATTATGCGCCAAGATTGCAGCATATTGATCACAGTTGATATAAGTTCAGATAATCCCTTTTACAAACTCGGATCTGAAGTGGAAAGCTCCTTGCGAAATGATTCGATACAGTCGATGGAAGAGATTTTGTTTTGAGTATGTGAGCCAAAAGGTTCATGTTTGTTATGTGCACGATGGGGCCAAATCATAAGCAGCTGGATTACTGAATATTCTTCAATTTGGGCTGGGAATGGGACTGCGAGCTTGTGAACCAGTTGAGAGATATCTGCATGTAAGCTTCGTCCACCTTCAGTCATTATTCTACAAGTTTTCTGAATGCATGATAGAGTTGAAGATCAGACTCTGAAGCAATTTGTCAACTTGGGACCCGCAGATATCGATTTCTGAATAGCGAGTGAAAATCTTCGACCGACACGATGGCAATTGTAGCCGAGGAAAAGTCAGAGAATGGCATCGCCGAGCAATTTCAAGCCAAAAAGGTTCCAACTCAGACCGTCACAGAAATTGTGATGTCATATGAAGTTCCAGACCTTGTCTTCCCCTACGAGCTGGTTGATCCTCATCCAAAGTCCGCAATTTGTATCGTAGAAACTAAATAAAATTTAGTTTCTACGAAACAAAATTTTATAAGTACGAAGGTAAAATACCAATCACCAAGTAAGTTTTGGTACTGAAGCTTCACATGGAGTAAAATATCGATCACGAATGAAAATTATTTACATTGAAATCGAGTTTGAGTCTTTGTGAGAATTTACATAAGAGTATGCAATTAAAATAAGATTGTTTATGTTAGTGAATATAAGGTGTCATGTCATCATATTGAAACAAGTATTTGTAAATTAATCATAAGTTTTTTTAAAAACCTCAACTTAAATCCTTAATAAGATCATTCTGGATATCACTAGCCAAATTATGCATCCTATTTTCATTTTAAATTTATTGTTATGTAAGAAATGGACAAATATTTAATATCATGTCAATAAACTATGACATACTCAAAAATTCTGGATTCATGATTTTATTAATGATGTCCATGATGTCTATTTCAAGTGTGATAAAAATGTTAAGAAAAATAAAAAACAAAGATGTTTGTCTTCTTGCCATTTATTATTTCAAATGCTCAAAAACCTTGGTCACATAATAGAATTAAAACGCTCATGATCAATTTATGCGTGGTAAACTTATAGATTTTGAGATTATTGTGCAGATAAGGTAGGATATACAGAAAAAGTATAGCAATGTTGGAGGAGAATTCACTAAGCGGCATATGTGCCAGTTTTAATCCAGCTAACATTACTAGAATACATTAATTTTTTCTGTGGATATAATACATACAAAACCATGCTTTAGGAGTTCAAAATATAGAGAAAGAAACTTGCATTTGAAGCAAAGGTAATACGGGAGACTTTGTTTTATTACATCATAAAAAGAACATACCTTCTATCATAAAAAATAGTTCAAAGAAATCATATAGGCTTCAAGCCAGATCTTCTGTTGAAGAGTGCAAAAAATTTTGCTCAACATTTTACTATTAAATTATTTATATTGAATGGTCATGTGGATATCATATATGAACTATTCATGATCATGGCTCACAAGAGAATTATATTATTGGAAGTTGTTATTTGAGCTGTATATATTATATTTTGTAACAGCGGATGATTCACATGCACACAATGATGACAAGTGTACATATGTTAATAGTATATTCAAATTTGAAGCCTATTGAATGTTTTTAATCTGAGATACACTATATACTTCTCAATCTCTACTCCAGCCCCTCAGGAATGGATACAAAGATGTGAATACATGCTGTAACTCTTGAATTAAAGCATTTGTAAGGTGTTCAATGTTACATGTAAGGTGTTCAATGTTACATGCAAAGATAAACAATTTTATTCGTATCCTCTTCAATTATGTTTCCATTTATGATCAAATTTTCAGTTATAAGGAAAGTTTTTAAAATAATTATTTACAATGTAAGAATTTATAATAGAAAATAAATTAAAATTTATTTAATTTTTTCTGACCTTATTGATAATTTTTAGTTATACAAAAATTTTAATAAAAAAATAATTACTTATTATTTTTAATGCTGTTTGAAAATATGTGTTAGAAATATATATGGAAAAGAAATTCCAAACACCTATGATGCAGATAAACATTTAATTTTTTAATGTTTGCAATAAACTAAATGTTGAATGTCATGAGTAATTCATAAAAAATATTCAAGAACTAACTAATAGTTAACGCTAGTAACTAATGTATTTAAAATAATCTTGGAATCCAGTCACATTTCATTGAATCTAAAATTAAATCTAAACTTCCTAAAATTTTTTGAATTTCATAAAATTAGTTAAATTTTTTTTTTGAACAAAAATATAAATTTAATTTTTTTCATCTAAGGTGATCTTAATAATAGAAAAACATGTATACTCATTTACATGTTCATTCAATCATGAATGAACTTGTAAGATGAATAATCAATCCTGCATTGTTTTGATTAATATATATTACTTGCGACGTTCACATTTTTTTCATTTGAAAAATTTTACTTTTAAATATCATAAGTACTCAACATTGAAGATTTTACTTTTATACAAATTTAAGGTGTTAATGATTGACAATTCTTTCATAATCTAATGTAATTTTTGCATATGTCTTTCCATTCAAATTTGAAATATGATTCTAGTCAAATTATTTCTCTCAATGAGAAATAAAATTGCAAATTTTCTTATTTTTAGAAATTCTGTCATCAAATTTTTTTAGATGATATGAATTAATATTTAATATAATTATTGGATGTGAAATTGAGGATCACAAGTATATTATGTGCAACTTCAGTTGTAATTGCAAGAATACACTGATGATCTTAACGTAAATTTTTTTTCATAGCCAAATTTATAGTGAAATAAATTTGGTAATTTAGTTAAATTTATACTGTATACTATATATACTATATGGTTTCAATAATTTCAAAATATTGAAAATTTGACAATAAAAAATAATCAGTTTTTACATTAAGGCTAAAAAATGCTATAAATCTAAGTTTATGCATTGATTAGATTGTGAGATCATTACAAAAACATTTTGAATTTTGT